TTTCCAGAGCCTCCATTTCTTCATCTGTAATGATAGAATATTGTAACTTCATAATACATATGATAGGATTACATTACATATGTGCAAGGCATATGTTTGATTTTTCCTCCCTGAATCATATGAATTTATTTTGAATAATAAACCAAAATTAGGATGTATTATGTACTGACTTGGGATCTTAGACATGCTACTTCATGTGATCTTACCAAGCTCACCATCTGCAAAATGAAAATAATATCTAACTCACAGGTCCTTGTGCATATCAAATGACTTCAGGATATGTTTCAGGCACCTATGAGATTTTCAATAACTCCTTGTTCCTCTCCAGCCCCAAGTTCCTCTACATCAGGCATTCTCAGTGAGGAAGAGATTGTCCCAAAGGGGGCAAAAATTGGTTCCTGGGAATGAAAAAAAATCTTACTCTTTTTTATACATAAAGCACAAATACATTCAATATGTAAACATACATAGAGTATATCAATGGTATTAAAATTTTATAGAGAGTAAAGCAATGAGGAAACATATCTTAAAAATTCCTGGAAGTGGGGGTGGGAAGATAGTGGGAAAAAAGTTCAAAAAGCATTGCACATTGCATCAATATATAATGAATCCATAAAACAATAACTAAAATTTGCCTACTTCCAAGGAGTCATGTACCAGTAGCTGATAGCTAATGACTTTCTCTTAATCCCAGAGTTGAGTTTTTCTATTTTATCTCTAACAGAAGCTGTTATTTATTTTCCTTGTCCTTTTCCCACTTTTCTTGACCCAACTATATTATCAAGCTCCAAGTCCAACAAAGACAAGAAAAGTAGAAAGATTAATGAATGTATTTGGGTTGGAATTCCAGAGAGTGCTCTTTTGGCATGCTTTAAATAACATTAGCATTCTTTTTAATTTTCTGGTGAGGCCCTTGTGTCACTTAAAATATGGCTTAACACCGGGGTGCATCACTTGGCACATTCTGTTCATTGTACATTAAAAAAATGGTTGAAATCAGAACTTCCTCTTGATAACATGGCCTGTATTTGTGATTTTCAAAACCACCTTGAGCACAATACTGAATCCTGTCACCTCAAAGGAGGAAAGCATTTAAAGGTGGAATTTCTACCCTTTCTTGTTCTTAATAATATACTGAATCTGTAACGCAAGGGGGAAATTCAGAGGTTGATTTTGGAATAAATAAATTCATGTGTAGTTCACTATTTAAATTCAGTAGGTAATACCCTATGGTTCTGGTGCTGTATGATAATAAATGATTTTTACACTCAAGAATCTGAATCACAAAGCTGCACTGGAATTACACATAGTGGTTATAGAAACATCTGTGTAAGAAAATACCAAAGGATAGACTAGTGTCATATAAAAACTATTAGCCAATAAATCTGCTTTTGATGGGCTACTAAAAATGTACACATCAGGCATAAATGATGTGTGCGCCTATTACATAGGCTAGCTTTGTGAAGGATGGCAAGCTTCCACTGGTGCACAGAGATAAGAAACAGCTGTTGTTGGCGTCAGCATTACTGCAAGAAATGAAATAATAATTCTGGGGCACACTCATATATCTGATCAACTTTTGAATAGATGCAAGACCAGAATCATCTGGTAGCCCCAAATGAAATTGCCGACAATCCTTTAACAATCTCTAAGGAAGGAGCACTGAATCCAATCCCATAGAACCATCATCCTACAGAGTGTTATTTCTAAAGCAAGTAGTTCAGTCCAATGTATGTGCATGTGTGGTGATGGGGCAGAAAAGGAATGGGGGAAGCTATTGTTATTTTTCTCTTTTTGTTGTGTCAAGGACATTTTTGAGTATAAAATTTTAGGGTTTCAAATGATGACTGCAAAGCAGTTGCTTGAGTGAATTTATAAAATGTCAGTCGTCAAAGGGGGAATTTTTTTTTTTTTTTGCAGTACTGGGGATTGAGCCCAGGTATACTCTACTATGGAGATACAACATTGTCTCTGCCTGCCTTAATTCTTTTTGGAAACAGGGTCTCACTAAGTTGCCTAGGCTATCCTTGAAATTGTGATCCTCCTGCCTCAGGCTCCCAAGGAGCTGGAATTACAGGTATATGCCACTGTGCCTGGGAGAATAAAAACATCTTTAAGGGAATAAAAATGCATTGAATCTCACCATTGGATCTATTTGATAATTACCAATAAACACAAAGGATTTTTTTATTTTAAGGGAAAAAGATTAACGATTAAGAATTCCAGTTACAAAAGCTCAAAAAGTTCTTGTTGATCTGGAAATTATATTTTTTTAAAAAATATCTTTTGAAATCATTTCAACCATTCAGTTCAAGAATATTCTGATAATTCCTCTAGCTCATAGTTGGGATTTTTCTACTTTTAATGTTTAACAATGAGAAGTCAACTATAGATACTCTATGCATTCCTCGGCTGGACACCATGGATTTCCTTCTGTCTCTTGCTCATTATCTATTTGAAGGTTGTTTCTTTCAGACAGAAAGCTCCTTAGCCAGGCTACACAGCTCACATACCTCTCCAGCCCACTTCTCTCTGAGAGGTACTGAAGAAGAGTGTAGGAAATCAAACTGAGTCTTCTGCTACCATAGGACATACTGATATCCTATAAATCAGAAAGAATTTCTGGACCATATAGAATGGCAAAGAAGTGGGAAAAGATAATGAGAGAAATTTTTCAGCCTCAGTCCACTGAGACCTTTAAAGAAAGAATAGCCATCCTTTTCTCAGTTTAGGCATTCATAAGCTGGTTATTCACAGCCAGTAAGGATTGGACCAAATGTGCTCTGGAGTTCTCTTCTTCCTTTTATGATGCTGTAGTTTTAAGAAGAGGTACACTGAGCAGCGAGAAACTATCCACATTGATTTTTGGCTGTTCACATTGCTTTCTGCCAGAGAGGTTTTTAAAATTTTGTAACATCAGACTCTGACTGGGTAGGTTAAGGAGTTCAGCCCAAGTTCTTAAATCAGGGCTTATTTACTATGTGAACTAATTGGGACAGGAGAGCTATATCCCAAAGAAGAAAAAAGGCAAGAGGAGAGTAGGCAAAGATTGAGAAAGGCAGGGAGGGAGGAGAGAAGAAAGGAATATACAAAGGACAGAAATTAAAGGTGAGAGACTACTTCAAAGCAACAGCTAAATGTCTTTTTTCTCCATATTAAGAATTTCTGTCTGCCAAAATGAAAAAAAAAGCATAATTACCAGCTAAATACAAATCCATTCCTATATCATTTAAGTGACATATCTCCAAGGTACAAAGCAGCTTGTCTGCTTAAAGGTTGGGTGATTTGAGCCCTCTGTTACTCTATATAAAACAAAGAAGCTGAAGTTTCATTACCCTTAAATTGTCTGGAAGTGGGTGAAGTTAACTTTTATTAGAAGCTGTTCTTTCATATTATACAGTGTAGTCATGGATATATTAGCTTTGACGTTTTCTTACATCTCAATACTCTGTGGAGTGAATTTACTGTGAGACTAATTTAGAATGGAGCTTTTCATAAGAGGAAATAATGGTCAGCATCAGTTGTACTTCAAATTATTATTGGGATGAAATTTCAGAAAAGAAATATACATACACATCAAATTACTAGATGTCAATAAGAATGTTTCTTATATTTTTTTATTCCTGATGATATTCTATGTTTCTTAAAACTCCCATCTCTTAAAACTGATTCAGGAGGAAGGATTTATTGTTAAGGAAATGTTACAGTGCCTCCCAAACATGATTATTTTGTCTTTAAAAGAAAAAAAATCAGATCAAACAGTTTATGAAAGGTATTTTTAGAGGTTCAGCTTTAATAAAGAAACCACTACAACATAAATCTTAAAGATATAATTATAAAAGCAGCTGGGCATGGTAGCACACTCCTATAAATCCCAGCAACTCAGGAGGTTGAGGCAGAGGATCACAAGTTTGAGGTCAGCCTCATCAATTTAACAAGATCCTGTCTCAAAATAAAAAACTACTGGGGATATGGTGCAGTGGTTAATTGCCCCTGGGTTCAATTCCTGGTACCAAAAATAGATAGATAGATAGATAGATAGATAGATAGATAGATAGATAGATAGATAGATAATTAAAGGCAAACCAGATGCAGTGGTACATAGCTGTAATCCCAGGTAATCGGAAAACTAGGAAAGGAGGATTGCCAGTTCCAAGACAGCCTAGAAGATTTAGTAAGACACCACTTAAAAACATTTTTATAAATAAATAAAAAACAGGGTAAAGATGATTGATTTGACTAATACACAATAAAGTCATTATAAAATAAATTCTAATTATGTGTAACATATATGCTATATATGCTTTATGTATATTTATATATTTGTCTTATATATGGGTGTGTGTGTATATATATATATATAAACATATATGACACAGAAAGTATGTGAAAACTTTTATTACTCTCTGATGCCAGGTGACATTCTATCAGTTTTGGGTATCTCATCTAATAAGATCATATTGATTGGCTGATATTTTGAGGCACTAATTAAACATATAACTTGTAAATGAATTTGAATTCTTCTTAAGCCAAAAAGGAAAATAAGCATACCTGAATGATGAATAGTATTTTAGCGTCAATAATTTTAGAATGCAAATATATCATAAAGGGATGTTTCAGACACTAAACTAATAAAACACAGTCAATCAAATATTAAAAGATATTGAGAAACAACAATAGGAAGTATTACAAGAAACATACCCAGTGGAGATGCATAAGAGCAATCCCTCGTCTACTCATTCGGTTTCTTATCGGTTCTATAGGTTTAGCAGTGGAAAGCCCCCACCCCTTTGTATTTATCTTTTTGCCTGAATGAGTTCAATTTCACTTAGATTAAGAGAGAAATTTCAGAACAGCAGGTTAATCCATCCTGTCTTCATGGGCAACTGAGCAAACAGACCAATATCAGTGTAAAATTGTAATTCTGGAGATTAATGTTGTCTTTTCTATTTTTGGTGAATTTGACCTCCTTCACTTTTTTTTCTCTTTTTCTTTTTCAGCTTCTGTCCAGGGTCCCTGGGAGAGAGCCATCTCACCAAACAAAGTGCCCTACTATATCAAGTAAGTTGAAAAATTCTATTCTTAAGGGAACATTTATTGTGGCTAATCCATGTATTCACAAGTGAATTTATTTTTAAAATACATCATTAGCCTTGCCTATGATACCTATTTCTTTCCTTAGAAAGCTTGGATAGTAAACTCATGCTAAAATTAGCACTGTAAATGTGCTGATGCAATAGGAAACTACTTTTAAGAAAAATTCATTTAATGCAACATATATATGGTATGGTTTAGGGGGAAGGGATCCATAATTTTCACAATAGAACAAGAAGCTCCTGATAATATTATTGATGGTGGAAGTGAATGTTTCACAGAAAGCTATTCATCTGTTTTAGGGATTATTCTTATGTCATCTTCAGACCAATACAAACTTCTGCAGTTGTATGTGCACAAACTGTTTTAGGTAAAAGAATCCTTCATGTATCCCAAAGGCAGAGAGTAGCAGTCCTGGATTTGTAGAGCTTAGGTGTTCATTCTTGATATGTAGCACTCAGTATTTGTTACCTAGTAACAACATCAGAGTGGTACTGTTTTCTGGGATCATTTGTGCCAGTCAAAAGAATAGTCAAAGGAAGGATGTGTGAAATATGAATTATGATGCATTAGGTTGACATGGACGAGGGAGAGGAGAAAATATATTGAGTTATTATGATACTTTAACAGTCTGTCATCAATCGTGCAGCGGAATCTAACTTAAAGTTAACTTTGAATTGGCTCCCCCAACAACAATTAGAATTAATTGAGTTCATGAAACACTCTTCAATACCAACTGAAGTCTTTGAACTTGCTTCTGCTATGAGTCTGCAAATATTAAATGTGTTCTCATTTTTTCAGCCTGCCATCTTTTATCGAGTGTGTTTTTATTCTTCTACTGCCCATCAATTCTTCATAATTCAGTTCTAAAGCAATAACAGCAGTCCTAGATCTTCATTACTACAGTTTTCAAGAAATTTGATTTCGTGCTTTTATTTTAACTCAAAAGAATGGGGGTGAAGGGATTCTTTTGGTTCTTCAAGGAAATGGTTTACCCTTTGTCTTATTAAAATTTTTCAGATGAGATTTCTCTTAACTTTAAAAATTCTCCTTTAATATGCCTTGAGCCTCCTTTTCAATTTTTCTTTTTGCTTTAATTTTTTATTTGGGTTATATCTAATTTATTTCATGACTCTAAATTACTTTTTATTATTTATTTATTTATTTATTTGCTACACAAGGGATCAAATTCAGTGGACTCTACCACTGAGCTACATCCCCAGTATTTTTTATTTTTTTTTTATTTTGATTTAGGGTCTTGCTAAGTCACTAAAGTACTCCACCATGCCCTGCTACATGACATATTTTAATCACATTTTATTAAATAATATATTGATTTAGGCATGCACCATATGGCGTTATGTTTACGTATTGTATGTGTGTATGTGTATGTGTAGTTTATTCAGTTTTTTGATTCTTATTTTTTTAGTTGTAGATGGATTATTTTATTTTTTATTTTAATTTTTTATGTAGTGCTGAGGATCAAACTCAGTACCCCACACATGCAAGGCTAGCACACTACCACTGAGCCACAACCCCAGCCCTGTTGTTTTTTTATGGTAATAGGAATTGAACCCAGGGCCAGTACATGTTAAACAAGTTCTTTACTACTGAGTATATCCCCATCCTTTTTTTTTATTTTGAGGCAGAGTCTCCCTAAGTTACCCAGGCTGGCCACAAACTTGAGATCCTCCTGCCTCAGCCTCCCCAGTGCTGGGATTATAGTCATGGGCTACCACACCCAGCTCTCCTTTCTTTATAAACTGAAATTAACACACTTTTTCTCCTTTTGTAGCTGAAATTTTAGGACTACCTGAAAATCAGAGACACCTTTAAGCTATTGTTTAAATGTCTCACAGAGATTCCTAGCCCCATCCCCATTCCCAATTCCACTGTCCTTTTCCTGAATACTTATCTTCTCCTCCCTCCTGTTACATATAATACAAGAAATCCCAGTATGTTGTTGTGGGAAAGTGGAGATTAATTCAGTCCAAAAAATTAAGTATTATTCAGGTGTGATCCTGCACGATTGAAATCCCAGCAGCTCAGGAGGCTAATGCAGGAGGATCTCATCTCACGTTCAAAGTCAGCTTCTGCAACTTAGCAAGGCCCTAAGCAACTCAGTAAGACCCTGTCTCTAAATAAATTACAAAAAAAGGGCTTGGAATGTGGCTCAGTGGTAAAGCACCCCTGGGTTCAATCCCTGGTACCAGAAAGAAAAAAATAAATAAAAATGAGACAAGTTCTAAAAAAGCTGTAATTCCCCCTTTTCCAGTAAATTAGTCTCTTGCCCTCATTACAGTTAGAGAGCAGCTACATGCCCTATTTGTTCAATGCTCCTTCATGTCTTGAGGATCATGGTGGTGGGTATTATTGGTTACAGGCATAGATCTGTAAACAAGAAAATTCAAATTCTGGTCCTAGCTCTGATATTATTTGACTGTGTTGTCTTGGACAAGTCATTAAGCCACTTAAACTTTGCTTTCTCATTTATAAAATAAGGAGTTTGTATGATATCTAAGGTCCTTTTAGTTCTCAGAATCAATGATTTGACTCATTCAATGGACTTGTCCAAACTTTTGTTCAAGAATTTTATCATCCTATTTTAAAATTCATTATTTGAATTGCTAAGTCCATATATATATATAATTTTTTTTCTACTGCTTAGCTTCAAATGTGCCCTCTCAGCACACTCTAACTTCTCCAGGTATCTCATTCAAGAGCTCAAATCTTTCTGTATAATTTAGGACTATTGTTCTTCCCAGCTCAATAGTAAGAGACATAAAACAATAGACAGGAAAATTAATAGAGATGGGAGTATGGAGACCTTAAAAGCCTCTGAGGTGATCAGTTTCTTGGAATTCACATAATTTCTGGAAGATCTGTCTGATACTTTATGGAAAACAATTCTCTCCAGAATTATAATCTATTTGAAATTAGGGATTATATTTCCCAAATTTAACTCTAAAATTAAGCTGTAATATAGAGAATACATGTTCATAAAATGTGAATTGTTAGTAAGCAGATTACTAATGTCATTTGTGTTCTATTATTACTTTTTACTGTTATCTAAAACATTCTACTTAAAGCACATTATTTTGATGAGTAAGATCCAGTAGACTTCATGCACTGGTAAATGTTACTCATAGTCTGAGATGCCTTATTCATCTAAAACTAATAATAAGAATAAATTTATAATGACATTGCTTCAACCTGTTTCTATTTTTCCTCTTTATTATCTTGTTTGTCTTGACTTCCATTCAGGAGTTTGTATCACAGATTCCCAGCTTCAAAAGCCAGGTGTCCTCTCTGGCTATTTTTTTAAATGCTTTTCCTTGTCAATGCTGGGCTAAACTGATCATCTAAATAATAGGAGGTTTCCTTATCAATAGCATGGATCCTAGTTGGCTTTTGAGTTGTGCATTCATCCTCAAGATCTGAAGTCATTAACAACATCTTTTGCTCTAGATTGCAAATCAGGCAGTGTTTATGCCACATCCTGACACCAGATTTTCATATGATACTATGATCCTTGATTTTGATACTTCAAACTATGTGTTTGTCTAGTTTATTAGTCCATAGCATATATCATTGTTACAGTTTTCATATTCCCTCTCCCTTGGGGCTCTCTTATTTCTGCCAGCATCTCTTTCAGGTTATTTGATTACAGCTTTCATTGCCACTGAAAAAATAATCACCAACAATGTTCAACCTGTTACAACTGCCTTTTCTACTCTCTGCCATTTTGTAGTTTTCTGGCCTACTGTCAAACTCATGAAAATTTCAATATAATAGCCTTTAACCAGCTGCTGCATTCTGTTAGGATTTCTTTCACCTTTTTATGTTGCATACTCCCATATGGGTAAACCAAACAAGAGCCAGGACTCTCTTGCTTTCTTAATGAGTTAGAAAACTATTCTTCTATGTTCTGGACTGTCCAAAGCATTGAGGAATCCCAAACCTACATTCAGGATGTTCCAACATATATATTATAATAAGATAATAAGAAAGAAAGAAATAGAACATTGGGTCAGATCAATAGGGCAACCAGAACCAACCCAGAATTCTGTCTCATGTGAAGGCACTGGTAGTAGTTTTGTCAGTTAACCTAGTAAGCTTAATTTTAAAAATTAAGGTATATCATGACCATTTCTTGTCTGTTTTGTTTTGTTTGGGTCCTAGAGATTGAACCAAGGGTGCACTACCACTGAGGTACCTCCCCTGTCTTTTTCTTTTCTTTTCATGTGAGTCAGGGTCTGGCTAAGTTGTCAAGGCTGTTCTCAAACTTGTAATCCTCCTGCCTCCGCCTCCGAAGTCACTGATATTACAGGCATGAGGCACCATACCCAACTCATGACCATTTCTTAATGATGCATTATAAATCAATTGGCAGTGAGTTTATCCAATGGTGTCTTAAACTTTTGCCAATTTTCACCTGACCTTGTCTTAGAACTAAGTTCCCTAGATATACTGACATCTGTATAAATCAAGGCATGTTTTAATTTCTCTTGAACCTACATCTTTTAACCTCAACAAATGGCCCCAATTAAGTGCTTTGGAATTCAATGAATACATTTCTGTTTACCCAGAGTTGACTTTAACCTCACATCCCCCACTAATGCTTTTCATTTTCATCTTCCTGGTCTGAGAAATTCTAATCCTTTTTAGTCTGTCCTTGAATGAAAGATAAGCTTTCCCCTTGATCATCTTAGTTGCTTCTCCCTGGATCTGTTCCAGTGCTTTAATATCTTTCTTGGGATATCGTGACTACAAAGGTCCAAATATTGGTTATTAAATTTGTTAGCATTGTCTCTAGTCTCCACTCACTCGTGAAGAAAATAAATGCTATTCACTATCTCCCATTGGTGCAGAAATGAAGAAACCAATTGAGGTCATAACCTGTTCTACATATATTAGTTCTAGCGTTAATTTTCTGCTACTTTTCAGTAATACCAGATGAATTGTTT